ACGGATTGTTCCAATTTTGATCGGTTTATCGTCTTTGCATGCGGGCGCTAATAGTTTTGAACCTGAAACTATTTAGCTTTTAGCTTTTTTTTTTTTTTTTTCGCTTTTTTTTTTTTTTTTTTTTTTTTTTTTTTTTTGCTCTTTGTGTGCCAGGGGCAAGGTCATGCGAGGCAGGCTGCCTGGCGACTGTTATTTTTTTTTTGGGCAGGGTCTCTTTATTTTGACAGTCCGTCAATTAGAGCTTTGGCAATTATGAGATTAAATGGACTAAAAAGTTTTGGACTTTCTTGCCTTGAGCATTTCAACAGCGACTTTGATAAGCGTTAATTAATAAATCAGCATTGCGCATTGCATTGGAATAACAATGATCAATTAGCAGTTACCCTGTAATAATTTAAAGGACTTTCAATTGTTCTAAGGAGCTGAGTATTTTTTTATTATTTTTCACATATTAAATACAAACTAATGAGAGTTTTTTATTATATTTTATTTTCAACTAGGCAGATATCTACTTTGTAGTCTAATGCAAATCGTGTATACTATACGATAAACTATAAATATACAAAAATTATTTGGTTTATGGAAAGTAAGAATTGACTTAAAAAATTTACTATAAATATCAAGTATATACAGTGACTACCGAGTATATACATTTCAGTTGTGGGCTGTATATGTATATGAGATATGTATATGTATATGAGATAAGAGAAGAATAAAGGCTCAAACACATAAAACACGATGATATAAACCAAAGGCTTCTTCAGTAAACAATTCTAATTGAATTAAAAACACATCAATACAGGGTATACCGTATACAAAACATAATTAAGAGCAGCATATGCATCTACGTACACACATATGTATATAAATATTTATACGTTGTCTGCTACCAATTAAATCTCTTCAGCTTTGAAGTTGAGTGAACTTTAAAAGGTTTCTCTGTCGCTCTCAGTGTCATTGTCGAAATGTTTGTTGCCTGGGTGGCCCGATCACTGATTGACAATGATTGACAATTAAGTTGCGTATGTGTCAGGCCTCAGGTGCTATGCTAGACTGTTGCAAACACGCTTTACGCTTCATGCTGTTGGCTGCTGCTAAAATAGCTACCATTTATGTGGAGCATTGGCCCGGCTTATTATGGCCAACCGACTCGAAGGTTGTCTCAAAACATATTTGGCTAGGAAGTGGTTAGCTGATTTTTCATTGTGGGTGCTTAATTGGAAAACAATTTTTTTACTCATTTTTTCCATAATTTGTTTATATTTTATTTTGCAATTCGACGCGTGTTTCGATATTCGGATAAGGCGAGTAGCAACTGCTGTACGATCATGGGAATTTCTTCAGTCCCGAGCAACAAGGGCAACAAATAGTCTGCATGAAGGCTGACCGAAAATCTACAATTTACTGACAGAGAAGAACTGAACGTTTTAAAATCATATAGCTTGATATAAATAATATAATATAAAAGAGTTTAACTATTACTTAAAAACCTTTTAAATTTTACGATATGAGTAAATTAGGCATATTTGGAGCTTTGATTTTAAGCTTCTGCTTCAAGCAAGAATATTTATGAGAAACCATAATTTCCTTTCTCTAATAACACTAAGTGCTAACTGCAAGCAGTTTCTAGTTTAAGGTATACAAATTAGTTCATCATATCATTCACCAGAAGCAACTGAAGAAGCACAACTTAATTATCTTTAAGCATATTAAACTTGATATCTTACGAAACAACATTATAAATTAGATTACTCACCTGGTTATTTCATCATGGCCAAAACACAGACAGCTCTCAGGCACAGCAATCAAAGCAGGCAAAGGTGGCAGGCGAACCATTTAGCAGCGAGCACCGCCCAAGTTGCGTGCCGCTTGTCACATACATACATCAGTCAGCTCAGCGCAGTCAGCAGTCACTTGTGAGGCGAAAATATTAA